TCATGGAACAATGAGGCTGATGAAACTAACAATATTCATGCAAATGTCGACGTTCTACAGACATTGCAACCCCTTGTCCTACAACGAGAGAGTCGCGGTGAAGATTTTCAACATGATTCAACAAATATATATATTACTCGGTGCATGAGAATTCAAAGTGAACATTATTCCTCTGTAATCAATTGTTATACTTAAAAGGAAATGTAGGCGTAACGTATGCTTGGAATTTTTCTCTTTTTTTTAAGAAATTATTAATGACTAAGTAGATGTATCGATCAGAGTTGAGAAAGAAATCGTAGGCCAAGGGGTTAAAATACAAAGATCATGAAAGGATCATGCTTCTTTTCAAGTGTACAATACTTTTCTATTAATTATGAGATAATATCTTAGTCACCACTTGATTTGATATAGCGAGATTATAAAGACATATATAATAATCTTTATACGATAGTTCAATGTATGAAATGTGCAGAGGTTTAACACTAGGTTTACGGAACGCGTCAATTTGACGCAGATTGAATTTTATAAACATTATTTGGTAAATGTTTCAATTACACGAATATGAATCCTGATTTTCTATTTCTACATCTACAATTTCCAAAATCTAAATGAATATCAACTTCCCCAGGAACAATAGAATAAACTCCACAATAAATTCCCGTAAACCTAGTGTTGATACTTTTACTATTAAAGTTTCCTGTATCCATCGATATTTTAAGCGTCATTCGACAGGGACGTAATATTTCGAAGAAAGGCAATCATCCCTTATCTTCGGTGTCTGTAGGTCGATGATGTAAGGGAGGAATGCGTGAACCTGTTGGTAATCTTCAATACTAAGGACGATGATGACGAAACGTTCACGCACAGGTTGCATAGTCTTGATCCACAAAGTAAACCATACTATACCGGCACAGGTTTACCAGCCCATAGCAGGAGCTGCGATGCCTTTGTGGAGGCAAGACCGGTGTCGGTGTAAGCTGCTCTGTCTTCTGCGTCATCCTACGTAACACGTCGTAATATCTCTGGCCTGAGGGGCACGCTACGTGCGGGCAGAAGTGACATCGTGCAACCGTCTGATTATTTACAATGGAAACCCATAGGGGCTAGGAATATGTCGTTTTGCGATCATAAATCATATATCTCCTCTCACTTCTGTCTCTCTCATTAGACATGAACAAAGATCATGAAATTGCGTCTCCATTTGTCAAAGAAATGTGAAACGAGCAAGAATCTTTAGTATTTTTTGGACACTACTTCATTTAGTAAATACTTGAATTTAGGTAAAATCTAAGAAAGTAAGTGTTTTCTACATTTTCTTTTCGAGGGGATAAAAATCTATGAAGCATATTGCGCGTTTAATTATCTAAACGATTACGAGGAATCATAGAACGAGTCGAGGGTACGATTTCGATAAAAGAATGAATTCTAACGATCAATTCTGGACCGATCTAGATAAAAAACGCAGGAAGAAATTCTCGAGTGGATCGACGGGATTCAATAATTCTTTGACTCGGTAACGAGAACTGGGAATCGAACTTTTGAAACTACCTCCGGCAACGAGGCCAATTAATGCCGGAATGCTTCGAGGATTAAAGGACAAATCCTGATAATTGATATAAGGGGGTAAAAGCGCGACATAGATCTTCGAGCGAAACTATTAAAGGATTATTGCGATCGTTCGGTCGCGTCCGTTCAATTTAGCGGTAAACTGTAAAGCGACCGCCATTTCAATCAATTTTATTTATTGGATTGTTTTTCTATCTGTAAAATCAATGGAACGAGTCCCATTATCTACCGTCATTTAAAGATATCATTTTTCGCAAATAACCGTTCCGTGATGTGATTCAAAGGTCGGTCGCGTGAATTTCGAGGCTCGTTCGCAACAATAGCCGGTTTCGCAAAACCATGCGCAGCTGGTATTCGAACCGACATTTTACTAACATAGCAAACATACCGGGAAGCCTGCAGATTAATTACTGGTCGCAATTTCGCTGCAATTCAATCGATATTTCATTACGTTTCAATTTACATTCTACGAACTCCGCCGACCAAAAGTATAGAATGAAACCTTATAATGGAACTGCGGATAGCAGTACGAATTTCAACTTTCATTGACCATTTTCCGATAACCGGAAGTAAAGAGAAAATTCATAGAACAATTAAAGGTATTACCAAGGTGGGAATAAGTAGGAAACCTTGCTGCGCAAATGCAAAGTAATTATTCGAATGAAACATTAATGATTACCGGAAGTGGACAACATTTTTCTCCAAGGATATATTCTACAAAAAAAAACTAACACTAAAGCATATTTCTAAAAAACTACTTTCTATCAAAGTTTCATTAAACTCTATCAACACTATGATCCCTTACAAGAACCTACTCTATAAATCAAGAATCAGCCCGTAATCTAAAAATAAATATAATCATGGTAATCAAATCTAACCAACAATTTTCAATGTGAACACGATTACGAATGGATCTTGTAATTCAGCGTCTGATCCCAACCGAGAAGCGACGGTCTCAGATTGTCGACGGCCGTGCAAGAAGAGCGGCGGCCGCCATAATTCCGTCTTGAGTCAAAAAATCGTTGCCTTTAATTAAGAGGTGACGTCGGGGCCGGGAGAAAGACGAAGGAAAGGGTTCCGGAGAGAGATTCGCAGACCCTTTGCGAATATTGCAGCTGGCCAGATAAGCCGGGCTAACCCCGAATTACCAGAGCCCTCTCTTTGCCGGCACAAATTAGCAGGCAGACACGGCCCGGAGCGAGCAGAGGAGGGTACAATTTTAAGGCACTCGCTCTAATAGGTAATGCAATTTAAGAAGCTCGTCAACCAGGATGGCAGCGGGTACCATAGGCAGATGGCTGTCGCCGGGGTCCGGGACAGGGGGGGTCGGCTCGCAGCCGAGATACCCCAGAAGCAGTAGAGTGGTGTACGTAGTGTGAATCTTAAATTCTGTGGCAGCCGCAACCGGCTCGCTTCCGTCTCCATGGCTGAGTGAATAACTTCGGTAATTACCGGCGACCCAGTTGCGACTGTGGCGAAAGGGGTAGGTGGTTTATGTTTCGAATCTGACCGAGAGACGATCGCTACTGATACGGCGCTGTTGGTTTGACAAGTGACCTAACTTTCGGGGCACGTACCAGAGAATGGCGTTGAAAAGAAGTCGAACAGTTCTGGATTATAGAGGGTGACGAGAGAAGAGGGTTGAGAATTTCAAGAGTAAATAGTTCTCGTTAAGTGAAGGACCGAAATGGTAATAAAGATGTACTGAGTAGGTTTTATTCTTCTCTGTTGCAACTAATCTGTCTAGATCATTTAGCAATTGAGATCTTTATTGTTAACCATGATGGTATCACCCTCTAAATACAGAATTATGTAGGATGTCGATAAATAATATTACTAATAATAATCAGTAATACTACTACTACTATTTGTCACGTTAATAACGAATTCTATAGTTAACAAGTATCCAATCCCAAAAGGGGAACGACTGTTTTTGAAGTACGGTATTTCCTGTGGAAATCGATACGACTTATTCCAGTGGAAACGAAAGAGAAAAACCGGTTTGTTCAGCTCGTAGCGGAATTTTTCGACGATAAATGCATTTAATAAAGAGAGGAAAAGGCTTAACGTCGGCTGGCCGGGTTGGCATCGCCCGGCTGGGTCCCGGTCCAATCAGCATCGGGAGCAACGACTCCTGCGGTCCCGTGCGATCGTCCGACGATATTCTCGGGTAATGTAATTTCTTGAGTTTTCGGCTTGGCTCCAAGTCGTTACACGTACGTTACTCGACGGAGGAGACTTTTCGGGGCACGGGAAACGCCGCTGGCGCTGGTCGTGCGACCGGCGGAACTCGGCTCGAGTTACACACCGGGAACGACATCGTTGCCCTTAAACTCGGTTGTAGGAGCAACCGGCCTCCGTGTAAATCGCGGAGGGAACTGTAAAAACCACGGGGAAAAAACAAGAGGAAGATAAAAGCGTAACGACCGGCACGGGGAGCAGGACAAATATACCGAGGCCTGAAAGTTTCTGGTCCGGCAACGCACAACTTTCCCAATATACCGCTAGAAGCTATCGTCGGATCGAACTTCGGTTCGTTAAATGCTCTCGTTAATGCCCGCCGAGCCCTTTACTCCCGGGAATAAAAAGTGACGACTGATTTTTATTCGAAGGAAGATGGTAAAACGTGGTATACGAGCATTTTATTGGCCGTATAAAAACATATTTCTCTTCTTTAATTACTGTCCGTTCATGTTTTCACGGCGGAAGTATAGAAACATTTAATGAAACCCAAGAGGGAAAAATAATTAAGTGATCCGCAGGATTAGAATATTAAATGAACTGGCTTCTATATTGTGATGATCGTATTCCATGAATCATAGGATCAGACTTTTGAAAATAAGAAGTGCCTGAAGACATGCGTGCTTCCACTGTGCTCTTCGAACGTAGCGACGTTACATCACTTTTATAGCGCCTCTAGGAAAGATGGAGATCCTCTTACAGTTCTTCGAAGCGTCTTCCAGCTGTATTTCACGCGTGTCGAGTAATATCTGTTATTTAAAGCTCTATCGCGAAATGAATTTTATTTCCCACGATTACCACGAACGTATCATATATCAGAGTGATGTTAATGCGTATGATGAAATATAATATTAATTAATTCCATTCTAATCGTTTGAAACAGTGGCGTAACGTTATGTCAGTAAAATCCCATTGTGCTGTCTATTATCGTTACTGCACAATGAGAAACGACTGGAGCAAGGAATATTCGTTCCATAATGGTGTTAACATAATTTTCACGAAGCGCGGATAATGGTCCGTCACACAGTCATCACAGAACGACAGTTTCCTCCCGCGCCGCGGCCCTTTTTACGCGGGTTGCGATACCGCCGCGCTAATTTCCTCCATCTATTTTCCGTATAACCCAGATCCATTGACGGCGACGTGGCGCACAACGTCGCACAACTACACACGGCCCTTTTCAATATTTCCAGATGGCGCTGTTCGCGATGAGAAGCCGGCCGCCGAAGAGGCTCGGAGCCAGAATAATGTCCTTTCTTCGGTGGCTGCATCTGCCAAGGATGTCCTGGCTCAAACCGGCGGCAGCGCTATGCTACCTTGCAGATTCACTGGCCCCGGAATAGTGAGTACATATCTACCTGTATACGGGCAAATATACACGCGTTCCAGATGATGTACACAAGGGAGGCCGACTGGAGGACAAGTAACCCGTATACAGGGTGAACTGGCGCGACACGATTATTTGAAATTCTTCCGATGTTACCTATATTATTCTCCTGTCAAGTATTATTCAACGCTAGAATTATCGAGTAAACGGGCTAATTAGTCGTTTCATCAATGGAAACTACGAAAGTGTTCTTGTTGATATTTCGATCGACTTACTCTCTAGTTTCCGTGATACTGTACTTTAGCTAATAATTGAGAAAACTCGCTCTTTTCAACAGTTATAAAACAGGAATTCAAAAATGAGTTTAATCTCATTATTCTGTAAAATCAAGCAATTACACCCATGATTACCTTCATATTTCTATATCCCAACACCCCCGAACCAGACACCCCTCAACTCAATGTTCAAAACTACACCATCCGCGCGAAAAGCGAACTGTCCATACCAACACGACCCGTGAATGATTCTAAAAATCTCCATTGCACGATATATAGAAAATGTCCTCGATCGATCGTGTCGCAGTCTCCATCGTTCACCCTGTATAAGCCGAAGCTACCGGGCAGCTTGTGTACCTGCGTTATTCACGGGCCACCGCGCACTAAGGAAATATGCAACACTGTACACAAGTTTGCGTGGCATTGTGCAAAGCGGGGAGCGGGGGAGGAACAGCAGATTGCGAGTGTGCAGAGGGGCCGGGGAGGCATTGCGCATTCCGAAACCACGCGCGTGAAACGTGGCCGGGCTCAAAGCCGCCCCGGGGACATCCAGCCTCCCCCGACGACGCTCATACACCGCCGTTCCGCGACAGACGTACGGACCGGTTTCTCCTAGTCACGCGGGTTTCTAATTTCGCCGGACGCGACGGATGCCTTGAATTCCCCCCGCGGCGCACGGTGCCCCGTCTTTTCAGCGACCTTTCAAAGACCGCTCGCCGTCTTTAAGATTTCACGTGTCATAGGACGGCGAGCCGGGCCAGCGGACGCTTTTCGAGCGTTAAGCCGCGCGGCCGCTCGCGCGACGGGCTTGAAAGGATTCAAAGAGAGCGGTCACGTGGCTGGACGGGCTGACCCCGAGCTCCTAGTTTCCCGTCTGATCAATAATTAATCCGGATACTCGATCAACCGGATTATTTTGAAACGTACGATTCGAAACAGCGATACGGCGGACTGCGTTGATCCGTCGAGTACGTTAGCTCGTAGTCTATTAGTTTCGATACGGTTCGTTGTTCGTTCGTGCGGATGATCCGGGTGTCTATTATCTAGGAGTGTTTCGATATCGCCTCAGAGGTTTCGAAGAAAATCCACGTTTAAAACGCATCAAAAATCTAGTGAAACTTCGCGTCTGGAAAGATTCTCCAACAAGTTGCGACCACTTTGAAAACAATTTACATTATGATAATAATAACGTGGACTTTTACGCGACAGCGGGAATGTCTTTACGGCGCCGCAAGACGCTAACTTCACGCAACAACAAGTCTCCGCGACTTTCGAAACTTTTCTATATTACATCTTAGATATCCTACCTCGAAGCACGCAGAACGCGCAGCGGAACAATAATACGTACTAAATAACTCGCAAACTCGATTCTTGGATATCATATCCCGCGGCGATTCCGGGTTACCGGAGCAAAGTCCGTCCGGTTCTTTGGGCTCGCGCATCTCGCGTTTCTCCGTCTTTCCCCCGCGATCTCGGCCATTAATAAATGATCGAGCCGCGAGCGTGTGCAGGCCCGGGGGCCGGGGTCACCGTTGGCAAAGGGTCGGAAATCGGGAAACGTAACCGAGACGGGGTCGTTTCCGCGTCGGTTACCGGTCGCGCGGCGAGGAGGCCTGCGGATCGGGCGAATGAAAGAGAGAAGAAGCCGGGGTCGCCGGGCTCTGCGGCCGAGCCTTGCGCCCCTTCCGTCGAGAACGTAATTTCTCGTTATTAATGTTGCAAGCGTCAACGCGCCGAGAACCGCAGGCGAGCCCCGATCCGCGCCGCACGCTCGCTAGCCCGCAGACGCGGCCCACGAGAGATTGCCGTGGAAAATTTGTATTTCCTGCGAGTATGTACAATGAGAACGTGATTAAGACTCATGCTGCATTATTCAGGACGCAGGTAAGCGGGATACCGTGACGCCATTTTGACCGCGGCATTGTTCCGCCTCGCACGTCGGTTCGATCGAGGATATTATCGTCTTCCAGGGGAACTTCGCTCGAGTTCGTTGCTTGCAGTTACCAATTAACCGGCGGAATATCGTTCGAGGAAGAACCCGCTCGATGGTTTCGTTCCCCGGCGCGCCGGCCTTTTTATATTTCACGGGGCAATGTCGGCCGCATACGGGAGCGAGACTATTCCAGCGACCACGCCATTCCGCTCTAAAAAATGAATGGCCCCCGACTAATTGACGCTTGTTCGCGGGCTACCGTGGCGGATGGAACTGAAGATGCCACGAGATTGCCCGTGGAAACCAGGATGTGGGGACGGAGGCTGGCATTCATGAGACGCGATCGAATCGGCTGTTTTGCTTGGGGAGTTTGCTGGACCTGAATGTAAACCGCGGTGTCTAGTATAATTACGATAGTATTCGATAGTGTTCGATTGCTCACAACTTTTGTAGGATTAAGAGAATAGGATAATATCTGTTACACTCTCTTATAGTATCTTTGCATTTTGTTTTTGGTTATAGACATGTGAATTGAAAGATTGTGGAATATAAGAATCGATAGAATTCAATATGGTTCCATTTTGTACTGAATTTATAGGAAACATTAATGGACGCAAGATGGTTACTCGAATTTTCTTCTGCAAAACTGCACATTTGAATTCATTTTCGAAGTCTAGTCGTACATGGAATCGAGGCTATGTAGAATTTAAAGTTTCGAGTTTCGAGAAAGTAAAGTTTATTGATCACCGAACCGAATCGAGTACTTTTGAATAAGCGGCAGGGTGTCCAGAAATGAAGAATCGATGGAACGATTGAAGCCGAAGGAACGAATGAAATTAAGTAATGGGATCTCGCGCACGGTGATCGATAGCGGTTTAGTTCTACGTCGGTTGATGCGCATAGAGGTGCAAATAATCGTAGGCGAGAGAACTGGGACGTGGAAAAGCCAGTAGTTCATTTGTGAGAGAAATTGCACGTGAGAATCGGATTTCCCCTTCCTTTAAGCTCGAGAACGTCGCAACTAAGCTTTGACCGTGTCGTGGACCATTACCACTCAGGAAGGACACGCAGGATTGATTTTCCGTTCGACTGACGACAGAAGAGCTGCGTGTACCCAGCGGCGATAAACGTTCACGAACACTGAACCCTCATCGAACCAATATGTCGGCTATCCGTGGCTGACGAGTAACTCATAAGGGGGAAAGAGCCGTGTACGTTTCCTCCGAATAACATTTTCCGAGCTTTTACACCCTTGATACGGTTTAATATTACTATTATTACTGTTACACATTAAATGCATTAGGAAGAACGGAATATAAAGGAATTTCATTGTAATTATATTCATGGAACGCTAATGGAATAAAAACACAACAGACTTGGGAGGAATTAAAAGGTACACAATAATAAAAGTGATTCTCTTAGTGAGAAAACGTTCGTACATAAATTCAGATAAAAACCAGTTGAAAAATTTAACTGGTATATTAATAGGATTTTAATCTTAATTCTTCTTAACATCTGTTGTCATCTTTGCAGGGTACGCGAGAGATTAAGATGTGAATTTAGTTGGAAAAACCTCTCGTTCTGCGCGCAATAAAATCGAAAAATGGACCGTGTACTTATTGAACGCAGGACGATTGCACGTTGAGTAATTTTAATGAAAGATCAAAACGAAACAAAGAATTACATGTTTATGTGAAAAAATAAAGAATTCATCGCTGAAAGAATTAGTATCATGTCAAGCTTTACAATGACGCGTATACTCGTCAAACACAGTTAACTGGCTAAAGACTGTGTGAGTGAGAGGGTGAGTGAGTATTAAAGACATTAAAATCCTACATCTTTTTATGGAATATCACGTGAGCAACTAGAATCATATCCAGCCACTCCGCTCTAAGGAAACAGTGTACAAAAAGTTTCACTAAACTTCGAAATCGAAGAACACAGTTTACAAAATTCAATGGTCACGTGAACAAAAGAATGTAAGATTGATTTCACGACTTTGAGGAACAAGTTCGTAGTAAATAGGCTGATAAGAGCGGAAGTTGAACGGAACGTTGACAAGGCGGTTCTCTAAGCGAGAATGTGATCATGGCAGGGTGAGAAATCCATGCTTCGGGGGCAATGAGGCGAGGAGCTCCTCTCCCTTACCCTTTCTTTCTCCATCCCCTCACTTTTGTGTTGCGCCATCCTCCAGTGTGTCGGAGCGCTGGCGCGCGTCTGCCGTTGACAGCAGTTAATTGCACCGGCGGCAAATCAAACTGAGCTGGGAGGCCAGCGAAGAAAAGAAACAGGAATGTGCCTCGCGAGGTAGTGAAACTGTGATAATTTGTGAAATCCGAGTGACTGGTAGAAAAAAAATAATATCGAGATACCCATTGAGAATCAATATTAAACTTATATCCATATTCTTGCAAATTTGTATTCGTTATATAAATATAACGTAGCATTAGATGTTTAAATTTCTATCAATTTAAGCACATCAGCTTCTTCCTAAATTCGAATATAAGAAAACGTTAAATGACGTAAATTTAGTTACGACCTAGAAAGATATGCTATATGAGGTTGATCGTGCACTCCGACTCTTAAACCGCGACACGAGAACAAGAGACACTCGACTTGTTTTAATTTGCATTCAAGGAAAACTGCTACTACTCTCGTGATATGCCTTTATACGGCTCCATGAAAGAGTGATATTCTATTTGTAATGTTACCTTTGTTATACCCGTGCACCCTTTATGTCTCCCTAAAAACGAGCGGAATATATTCCGTGTCTTCACGAAGACGCGCATAATACGTCCCGTGTCCAT